GCTGCATTTGAATAAAACACCAAATTCACAGTTTTTCTTTTAAGCCCAAATTCTGAAACTTACATTTTAACTACTGATTTTATCTACCGTTCCTTTTTTTTTTTTCTTCCCTAAAGCACTTTGAATCACCGTGTTGTTGAATTGTGCTATATAAATAAACTTGCCTTACCTTTCATTATCATACAACACAGGAACACACTGGTTACATTTAGGCAAATATGAAAAAGCAGATCCATTTCTGTTTTAGCCTCAACATTCAGAGACGTCTACAACTGAAACAAAGTCAGCACAGCAGGATGATGATGATTACAATATTTATTTAAAAAAAATGACATGGTTCAGGAAAAACACAGCTGGACTCGGCCCAGCCTTTTAACTACAATTAGGAGAAGAACCACAATCCATGAGCCTGTTCACTTCAAACTTGCCTGAAACGGCAGCTCCTGCTGTCACCGCTCAGTAATTTCCACATAAGAGCAGAGCTCTAGGCCACATGACGAACCCTGTGCTTTTAGACAGACACTTAAAAATACAAAATTCATGCAAAGTACACACACAAGTCCAAAACAACACAGACACACACGTGGAATTCAAACTCATGCAACTGAATTTCATGCACAGAATAAATAATAAAAATCTTTAAGTGTTCACCAAGTCTAACAGCATGGGCTGCCACAGTTTGTTCTTCTTCAGAATTTAACAGGAATTGAGCAGTTTGGCATCACTGGAAGAGAGTCCACAAAAAGGATAACTTGTGCAAGAATGCATGTAAAACACACAAAGGTCCCCTACAAAAAAAAAAAAAAAAAAAAAAAAAAAAAAAACACTCGCTGGAAATACACCACACTGAAAAATTATATAGAGTTCACAATGTACCAGAGCAACACGTGCAACGAGGTCTGAGAAGAACCAACAATGACCTCAGGAAAAACTCATGTACACTGCACCCATCTGATGAGTATTAGGAGCCACTCCATTCAAGGGATTCTGCACAGAAAATAAAATTAAAAACAAATATATTCTGTCATGTGTTATGATGACAATCTGAGTCATATTACAACGAAAATGTGGTATTAACTAAAGGAATCATTAAAAGTTGCATTGTGACAAATCCCTAATTGCAGAAGCTTTAAGAATAAATTCTGCAGAGGCCTTAATACTCAACATTCAGTGCATAAAGAACCACAACAGATTACAGCTGGACTACCATGTGTAAAACCAAGTATCATGTTTCACATAAAAAGCAAAAAACAATAAATAAGGTTTTTGACAGTATCAGATTAATGCACAATTTAAAGCTGACACATCAAAATTTCTTCATGTTTCTCAATTGCATATTCTGGAAACAAAGACAGACATGAATTAAAGGGCAGCTTCAGTTTCAGCCCCTTAATCACAGAACATGAATATATTTAAGCTTAAGTTCTTGGGACACAGAAATTTAGAATTTAAGACACACTTAGAGGTTTTATAGTGATAGCAACGACAATAGTAAGGATTGGAATGTTTTGATCAACGTCCTTATTGCCGTGTTAGTGGGCTGTATAGGAAGTGCACAAGGTGTAAGCAGGAAACCTCCACTAAAGAACAGGGGAGAGAAAATTAAGAAAAACACAACAAAAGATTCCACAGAGAGGGACAACAGCCGAGTCCCGCTGGCTCAGCAGCCAGTGGCACCATTGATGAAATGAGCCATCAGCCTTTCACAGTCGATTCAGAAGCACTTCCTGAAGACTATCTGCGGTCCATACTCCTCATATTCTTCCTGACTGATCCATGCAGAGGTAAAGGTAGGCATATTTGCCAACACTGCTCCTCCTCTCCACACTGAGGAGTCTCTATCTTTGGGGCTGGTTACACAAACACTGCCCCCCATGTCTGAGGGTAGCAGGCCTTTGATTTCATCCTGCAGTCGCTCAGGCAGGCCGGGCAGCAGAGTGTTCCCACCTTCAGGAAGAGAGGACAAAACAAATGGAAGCAGAATTTGGAAAAACCATTGTACTTCAGATTGTAGTGCAACACCTTACCAAGAACCAAATGTTACCTGAAAGTACAATGTTTCCCAGGAAGCAGCGCCTCAGGTCAATGTCTGTGCTAAGGATTGACCTATAGATGCTTTCGTGCATCCCATAATGGTCCCGTCCAATCAGCTCAGGTTTGAACAGAATCTCAGGTGCCCTAGATGAACAGGGGGTACACTCTGCTAAAGAGTCTGTGCTATACAACAAGCAAGGTGACCGCAAGATCATTTCTAAAACTTAAGTGTTGGTAAAAAGCAGGAAGCAGCCCCCCAACCCACCAGCATTACCTGAACCTCTCTGTGCTGAGGGTAATAATCTGCCCATCTGGCATGGTGTAATGCATCTCTCTGCAGGATGACTGCCCCCGATTTAGCTCATCTTCATAGTTGAGAGCGACACAGCAGCACTTCTCCTTCATCTCCCTCACTATCTCCTCCTCTGCTGTGGTACGCATGCACACTCCCTGTTCCCGGAGAAGCTTAAAGAACAAGCACAGCAAGCTGGTTTTGCCTCGTCTTTAAACTAAGTTAGGAACCATCCAGGGATTATGCCTTCCAAGCAATCAATAACATAGCTCCTACACTGGAGCATTAACAGAAGTGCTAAATACCTTTTTAAGATGCAGTGTAACATCTAATCCAGCCAGGGGAAAGCGTTGCACAGCATGAGGTAGACAGTATCCCTCAAACACAGGCACACTGTGGCTCACTCCATCCCCAGAGTCAAACACCACACCTATATCAAATACACACAAGTAGGATCATAGGATCAGATTTGAGTGGTTTAAATACACCAAGCTGAACAAAGTCTTCAGACAAGCCATCATCCGTGTGCATCAATCAGTGCGTGACGACGAGCGACTACGGTACCAGTGGTTCTTCCCGCTGCGTAGAGCGCTAGCACTGCTTGCATGGCTACATAGGTGAAAGGCACGTTGAAACACTCAAACATGATCTCAATCGCGTGCTGCCGATTCTTCAGGGGGTTCATGGCCGCTTCAGTCAAAAGAACCGGATGATCTTCTGGTTCCACACGCAGCTGCTGGAACGTATGATGCCAGATCTAAGAGACAAAAAAGTCAAGCACCAAGAGTAAATGAGCTTGTGGACAACCACCAATACTTTATTTCTCTTGAGGGAAGCATGTTAATGGGTGGGGAAGTTGCAAAGTGGGTGAGTTCTCAAAACACAGACATTCAAACTAGACTAATCCACAGGGACAAATAGGCCTGCAGCTGCCCTCTAAGCCTCAGGAACATATTCCTGCCTGTGAAGTGAGGCTTTTGACAGCATCAACACATATACACTGTGTGACCAATGATGGGATAAAACCAGGGTATTTGCTGAACGGATTTATTATATTTGAGACTTGAACATAAGAGAGAACCATTTGTGCCTTTCCACTTTGCCAGAAAGTTTCAAGCAGCAGAGACTGTATGATAGATGAGCAAATGTACCTGTAACAATCAAGTATAAAATGAAGCTTTTGCAGCCTTTAAATCTGTACTGACTCTCCCACATGCCAATAGCAATTTTATTTATACAGCACATTTTATTATTACGTGTAAACTCGCTTTGTTTAACACAGCAGATAAAAATACTGACGGCCACCATCGCTACTGCTCAGCCTCCGACCAGTCGCACCTCATGTTACCTCATTCTCAGGTTACTGTGTTCAAAGCTGGGTGTACACGCCACCCGCAGGCCTGACACGATGACAACAATACCCCCTCAGCCTTTTAGGGCTTAGGGGTAAAAATATTAAAACCAGTGCAGTAGCAAAACAAAACAGCATATTAAGTGTAAAGTTTTCTAGTCCATTTATGGATATATGCACAGCAGGACCACAATAACATGTTTTTAAACTGAATGTACACATTTTCCTCACATGTCAAGTACTACAAACAAAAAGGCTTTGAGTCGTGCCTCTTTCAAACTAAGCCTCATATTGCTGGAAAAGACATCCAACATCTTCAGCCAGCTGGGTCTGTGGAACAGCTGTAACTAGGGCTGTGCGATATGACCTAAATCTCATATCCTGATATAAAACATCTATTGTCCGATAACGATATAAATCACAAAAAATTTAATATTTTCTTTTAATTCTGTGAATCTCGGGTAGGTGAAGTGTTTCCAGCTGTGCGTCATGTAGCTGGAGTCGAGTGTTTTAACCGATGCATGAAACTACACATTTTTAGATATAGGTTGTAACGGCCGCCGTTTTCTTTGTGAGTATTTATTACACGGCGTGCTGCAGGGAAAAGCCTGTTCTAACGTTTGAGTCTAAGGTTTCTTTTTTAGCACCTGGCGGCTCTTTTTTTGCTTCTCATCCGTCAATACTCTGCATACTTTTTCACGTGATTCTGTTTATTTTGAAAAGTCTCAACAGGATCTTGAGATTTATTGTGAAAGGTTTATGTGGAAAATAAACAAGCGGACATGCGATGGTTTTACTGTCGTTGTTGCTAACGACAACCCATAAAAACAGGTGCTTGTCCGTCCGTAGTGTGGTTATATTAAATATAAGAGAAAGAGAGAACTTTAAGAAATTAATATAGCCACTACAGTGACCATCAAAATAATGAAAAAAATATTGCCGTAAACAGTTTATTTTGCGAAACCACGAAATAAACGATAGCGTAAAATGAAACGATAGACGTTTTTATATCGTCATCCGATATATATCGTTATATCGAACAGCCCTAGCTGTAACCTGTAGCCAGTAATCGATTTCCAGACGACACATCAATATACGTAACATTTAAGTACTAAAGGGGAATGATTCCGACATGAGTTTTCCATTTTCCAGTTGTTATGCAAACATGAGTATCACCTTTTCCATTTCATCCCAGTTGTGAATGATTCCATTCTTTATGGGGTGCTTCAGAGTCAAAACCCCTCTCATGTGTTCTGCATCGTGACCAATGTAGGCCTCTCTTTCAAGGTTACCATTCAGTACTTCCTGCAAAGACAGGACAAAAGAGAAAAAAATAAAGTATATTTATATCCACACTTTAAATCCCCATAGTTTTCCTTATAGCTCAACCAACTCTATAAACACACATCATGAGGCTGCTGTAATGAACAGACAAAGGATGCAAAGACCAAGGCAATTTATAGAATACATTTACTTATAATATTTTGAAAAGAAACACTCCACAAATATGTTTAAACATGTAGGGGCCAACCTGAGGGACACGAGTTAAAATCAAAGCGTCTAACAACAAATGCACTTACCTCATACTTTGGCACCCCAATTATTGTGGGGAATATAATGCTTGGTAGGTCTTGATCTGCAAATCCTGCCTTTATCAAACCAGAGCCTGAATCCAGTACAATTGGACTCTTGAAATCTGCCATCTAGAGACACAGACACAAACTTTTTTTCTTTAAAAACAAAAACAAAAACCCAGAGGTTCAAAAGCATCGAAATTATCTTTTAAGTTTATATTGTGACTACAACTTGATTCGTTTTCAATTCTGGCCACTCAGCGCTTTAGTCTATAAGCCACATTTTAGTCATACATTCAAAGTATGTGCGCTCAGTTACACATGGCACATAGCAATTTAAAAGCCTGGGGTTGGGAGAAAGCTTTCATAAGAACTAAAAACTAATGTTGACGTTAGGCTTTTAAATAAGAGATATACTTTATGTTCTAAATGAAGACAAAGGTGATAGCTGAAGTAGGATGTGCCCACGTACCTCTGTCATGGTGCTATAAAACTGGATCTGACTTTCAGGTGACCCAGAGATTCTCAGAGCCTCAGAGCTCTGAACACCATCTGGTAGCTTTTCGTTTGGTTCGTCTCTTTCACCTGAGTCAAACTCTAGAGGCTGATCAGCAGTCACTTGGGACTGCTGATCAAGTTGGTGGTCATCTGCAGGAGGTGAAGTGTGGATTTCCTCTGCTGACTGCACATGTAGTTTGAGTAAAGATGTGGGCATCTTTTCATTTTTAATCATTATTTCAGACGAGCACTGTAATGATGCCCAACAGTTCTCTGGGGGTACATGGTTATTGTTTTCATGTGTTACATTTGGACTGGAAACCAAGCTGTGGCTGGTGTCTGGAGGCACATTCTCTGGCAGCTCTTCAAGTACTTCATTTTGTAGATGAAGTTGGCCTTCACCTACAAAATAATGATCTAAGGACACCTCTGTGGAGTGAGGAGCTTCGAGTTCAGCACGGGCTTCATTCACAGGAAGCAAAGACTTTCTTGGCTTAGTTACAGGGGGAAGGAGTGATTTTCCACCTGGGTCAAAGGTGCCATCATCTACCCTCAATTCAGGGATTAAAGATGCTTCTGGACTGCATAAACTAGCAGACCTGGCCAATTCATCCCCATTGATGTTTTGCGATTGGACACCTGCCTCTTCTGAGGGTTCCTGTAAATCAAATACATTGTTCAAGGTAATTTTGTAATATACTGACAGACCAGTTGTACAACCACTAGCATCTTGACACTGGGAAAGTGGCAGTTGAGCCACATCTTGTGGTGAAGCCCCTTTGGTTACCTTAAGGTCTGAAACATCTTCAATAATTTTAGTCACACGTGTATTCGCAGACCCATCCATGGCAAGGCTGGCGACTGATCTTCCAGAACCATTGGGAAAGAGATCACAGAGCACTCGATCATCATGTTCTTTTCTAGGCCTTTCAGTTATAGAACATTTTTTAAACCTTTCATCAATATCCTCATTCTGTTTCGCTTTAAACTCCTTTTCTATACCCTTCTCCAGCTCCTCTACCTCCCTCTTCTCCTTTTCCAGCTGCAAATGTGAAGCCTCCCTCTCATTGCGTGAAGTCAGTAACACATTTGTACCCACAGGTTTGCTCTCCGAGAGCTCAGTGTTGAGTTTCTCTTTACTGCATCGAAACTTGTTGATCTGCAAGTTCTCTTCCATGATTAACCCGTCCAGGATATGAACTTTTCTCAGTTCCATCAGCAGGTCTGGCCTGCTGTCAGATACTTCAGATACTGTTGGAGCTTCACTGTAAAGCCCATCCGCATTAGCTTTAGTTTCACGTGCAGACTCAGCCGACACGAGGTCAATGAAACCGTCAGATTCTGCAGAGTCAACGCAGTCATCGAAACAAAGAACACCAGCTTCAGCCAGCTCGTAGGACGACATCTTAAAAGAATAAGGAAAAATATAGTGAATACCAAGGGACTATAAAACAAGCTGACAAACCTACTGTGACATTACCCACTGGTTTGTAGGCTTCCCTTCAGGCAAACTGAGTTTTTCCATTCTGGCCATCATCTACCCATTTTTTGGAACCAGTAGTAAATTAAACATGGGTTAAATGTTTGAACAGGTAAGACTCAGATTGATATCAGGCCTTAACAGGGGCGGATATCTACTCAATTCTGGAATTATTTTCAGAACAACCATCAGCACAATAGTTATAAGGAGTGAGTTAGACATTAACAAGCGAAAGATTTCTTATTAAATACAAATGTCAGTAAAGTTATTTGAATCAACATCTATTTGAGTCAGACATTTTATAAGACAAACCCCAGCATGTCTGACAGAGCCCCCTGTCAGCCTCTGATGAGGATTTAGCCATTTCAACATAGCACAGTACTTTGCAAATTACATAAGAAAAATATTTTAGCCAAAACTGGACAAGCTTTGAAACAAGCTTGTTTCACTACTTGAAACAAGCTCACTACTACAAGCTTTCACTACTTGAAACAAGCTACAAAAGAGGACAGTTGTCCACCTGGCTCTGTGTAAAAAAGTATTTGCCTCACATACCTAATAATCATTGTGCCACTGGCTGTAACAACTGCAGTAAAGTGTTTGGGAGAACTGGCACGGAGTCTTTCATGTTACTGGGGGAATTTTGGCCGACTTTTGTTTTATGAGAAAAGCCTATTTAAGAGGCTTCAACATGCCCTTAATTATATTTGAGTCTAGACTGAGTAGGCCATTTCAAATCCTTCATTTTTGGCCGACACGTGAGGTCCTTTAAATGTGCTATATAAATAAAGCCGACTTGACTTCAGACGTAGACTTGCCAGACAAATTCAGATCATTTAACCAAAGCACTTTAACTTCAGAGCGTAAACTGATGGCCGGACAATCTTCTTGGTGAAGAGCAAAATTATTTACCGTTACCTGCCAACTAAACACATGCCAGGACAAAGTAATATTACACTGTATGTGAAAGAATGGCAAATGCAAATCATAGGAAATAAAATTCTTGAAGTTGAGTCAATAATTGAGCTGACTATACAGCAGTTTTCAAAGTCCTTGTACTTCATGACATCTGGGAATGACCAATTAAATTTTCCTCTAATGGTTAAAAATCCAGGGGTCCACCTGGTGATTACTATGAATCATGGCTGAAGTTGGAGAAAACCAATAATTACTGAAATAATTGTTATTTTTGGTTCATAAAAATATCAAGTAGATTAATTACTTCTTACTATAAAAGGCTGTCAAAAAGGAGAGTATAAATATAAATCTGAAAAGAATACCCTGAAAGCTGTACAACTCATGGGTTATACTTCATAGAGGAGTAGTCAGAGGCTCCTCACCCTAAAGAGGATCCAGGAGTTCTTACTTTAGTCTGTCATTTTTTTTTCCTGTCTTTTTCTCTAGCTTTCTGCTACGTGTGCATATGCTTAAGGCTCTAAACCCTGGGGTTGCTTTGCGTTGTCTCGTTATTCTGTGTGTAGTTATGTGCTCCTTTGTTTTTGCATGACTGTTCAATAAACTCTGCTCTTTTTCAGAGGATCTTATTTAGTCCTTTGATATAAAAACCTAAAAAACAAACTGCAAGTGTGTTTTGATCATCTGAATGTACACGGTCTGTGGGAATGACAGAAGACGCTGCAGAGAGGCGTGTAAGACTGCAACTTGGGTTCCCGTTTTGGATCGTTTAATAAATTTGGCCAGATTTCCCAGAAAGGAGTGTTGCTCCCAAAGTGGGATAAATCCTGTCTCTCCTAACAAGACCAGGTTTCCCCAATTGTTTATAAACCACACATCATTTTCACATTTTGTCCATCTTCCTCTTACAGTCCAAAGACATCCCTGGACCTGTGCCTTGTGTAACTTACCTCTTATTCCGTGCCATAGAGGCATAGAGGAACTGAAACAAACTGATGTCAATAAGTAAGATCGAAAATTAATAGAATCTGTAACAAAGAACTGATCTGCTAGATGCTTCACCTACCGTATCAAGCTGGTCCTCACCATCACACAATCGCCAGACACCCTGCCTGTCCTCTGTCCTCAGCAGTGCATCTAGCACAGCTTCCTGAGCCAGAACATTTTCCTCCTCCTGCAAAATAAAAACGAATAGTTATGTCTATAACTTCTGTTCCTTTTCAGTCGATTCACTCGGTACACTGGACACGTGAGGGTGTGATATCCCATACTTATGCGTTGTACCGAGTGAATCGACTGAAAGGGAACTTGATCTGTTCTGTCCAGAAGTCACAACAACCAGCACTGTCTTCATTTCTCAAACGATCCCCCTCTCACCTCTAATATTTCATCAGCCTTGTCCAATATATTCTCCACTTCCCTCAGACCTTCCTCTTCCTTCACATCCCAGTCTTTCATGGACAACTCGCTGGAAAGTCGGGAGGGGAAATAAAATAAGGCATTAGGCAATTCTTCAATTTGCCTTTTCCCAGTTTACCATCCTTCCTTCAACTCTTTCATCTTACCCTCATTAATTTGCTGCCATAAGGAATCAAAGTAGACAATACAGTGTCTGTATGTTATGATGAAGTGTAACAGTAGGTGCCACTGTAGGGATTTTACTGGTTCAGAATGCAGTTTGGCAGGTGATCATGCCTGATCAGTCCTCATCATAAATTGCAATAAGTCATATGTGACAAATCTAATTATTTTGTCACTTGTGACCAACAATAAAAAAAAATTTTTAAAAAAAAGATTACTTGTGTAGGATCTGTGTAACTGAAATTTCAATACCACTGCTGAAATTTCTTTGAGAATTGCACACTGTAGGAGAAGCAACATATTGATCGACATTTTGACATTTGAAGCCAAACAAATTACCCATCATCGTCGTCGTCGTCATCATCTTGATTTTGGTCATGGAGGTCATAAGAATCCCAGAGTAGAGTAGGAACCCCCTCTGTGGAACAGATGGATTTGTCTTTTCCTTCAATAACGGTGCTGGAGAGAACACTGCAAATTGGACTTAGTTCAGGATGTTCCACACAACTTTGTGGATGTAATATCCAGTTCCTGCTCTGTGATCCTTTGGGTTCTGTGCTCCTTAAAACTTCTGGTGTAGGCTGAATTTGAGACCTGCTAGCCTGGGTGCCATTGACATGCTCATCTGAAGAATTGTGATCAACTTTTTGAGGTGCTGGATTTTGTGTGCTGCTGACAGTGTAAGAGTTTTCCAAATCCTCTACCGGCAAGCTAAGCCAAGGGTTACTGGACACAGCAGCTATGCGCTTTACTTTGATCTCAAACTGATTCAGCAAATCAGCTTTAGGAGAGTTTCCTATAGAGCCCAAGTCATGCTCCTCTCTGTGAGCCCTACAATCTGAAACACTGGAAATAATGTCATGGATTTGAGGTGGGCTTGAGGCAGGTATTGCAAAGTCTCTGGTTGCAGCAAACGGGGAGGACGGTTTGCCCGTAGCTGACACCAACCCTGAACCTCCGGTCAAGGGAGATGTTCCAAAGACATGGGCAGCTTCTTTACCCCCTTTACATTTAGCGAGGTTTGACTCTGAAACATGGTGTGGCACAGGTTTTGACGTGGTAGAATCAGCAGATAAGAGATTCACATGGTTGCCCCTCAGTAACTCATACTGCCACTGTAGGGCCATCTGGAGTTGTTCGACAGCCACTGGTCCTGAAGAGCTTAGAAGTTTCCTCAGTGTCAAGCACCTGACGAATAAAAAGAAAAATGAATAGAAAATGAAATAATGGCACCAGAAAAAAAAATTAATGTGGCAAACTGGTGTGGCAGTGCTGCTCAGCCAAACTGTCAAATGTCATTTGACATACTGAATATTTGGGTTGAATGGGTGATGGGATCCAAACTAATTGAGCAGCTATAAGCTACAAATGCTGATCAGTTGATTAAATCTATTCCAAATATTACTCCATCTGCTAAAAATGATTCAGTGACAGCATGAATAAATAAAGAATCCAATGGACCAATGACTACAGACGACAACACTGGAGTAAAACCATTTAAATTGCCATCATCTGCCAAACTTGCATTTGATTGCTGAATCAGTTGTTCAACTGAAGATAAAAAACACAGATCACACAATGGACACAACTTATAGATGTGATATTTTACCCAGCAAAGACTCATTTTGGCGATTCTGAGTCCAAGTGAAGCCTCTAAATTCTGAGACATTTCCCCTTTCAAAAAGTCACTCAAGTGTCAACAAAAAAAAATATATAAAAAACCAAACAAAATGGATGAATGTTTGTTTCTCATCATTTAATTAAAAGCTTAAACTTTGATAGAAATTGATTTAATCTCTGGTACATCTCTTTTTGTGGCTTGTAACTCACACAAATCACAAATTCAGCAGCTCAAATTAGAATATTTCATTCAAGTTTGAGTAAATTACTATTGAAAAATAAAGTTGATTCATAGCATCATAGCAGGTCAAATTCTCAAAATAAGGAGCTGCACTTGAGTGCTTCATTCCTTACCCTTCCTACAAGAGTACACACTGGATGATCTTTTATGAAAGGACAACATACTTCTACATATTCAGTTTTTACCAAGTCTGCTTTCTGGAAGAGGACCAAGCTTCCTGCTAACAGCCCATAAATGACATTTGGTAACGGCAGTGGTTGACATGTCTGATGTCTCAGGAAGCTGTGTCTACTTTTCAACAAATTTGCTTTTGCACAAAACTGCAAGAAAGTTGATAATTGATGCGCACGCACACGTTATTTGCTTGCACTCAAGGTATGACTTTGTACACAACAATCTGCACTTTCTGTTGAAATGGAAAAACCCATTTAAAATCAATCACATCACCTTTGAGACATCTGTTTCCCCGTCTGCTGGATCTCATCATCTGGGATTGCATTTGCCAAATGAGACAGATGGAGCAGCTCCTCCATTTCTGGAGGGGGATTGTTCTTCAGAAAAGTGGACAGCCTCCATCTCCACCCAGGCATCATCCCCCAGTTCTTCTGCTGCAGCTGGATGGAGGAAGCCTCTTCACGAACACCCGACAGGAGCTCCTGGAGGAAGTTCTGGCAAAGGACCAGACTGTACCAGCAGCTGGCCTAAACAGGTAAACGGCATAATTTCTGCTATTCTTGGGGGTGGGGCCAATTTTAGACAACAGTAACCAGGTATGGCAATAACAAAGTTAGACTCAAATTTTTGATCAACATCATCTTTATGTAGTTAAAAAGCATTTGTCTTTGAAATTAAAAATGCACACCGGCTGCCATTAGACAGCACAGGATGATAGAAAAATGTTAGTAAGCCAGTTGGATGATCGGTCAGTGTGATTTGAAAGAGGATGTCTGGCACGCGGAGTGAAAAAAATAAAAATTACTGTCAGTGATTACAGTCAGTAAAGGTATTTTTTGTTGTTTTGTTTAATGTGGCGAGCATTACCTCACAACAGTAAGACAAAAAGCTGTTGATGGTTAGCTTAGGTTCCAAAACAAAAGTTCTTCCAGTGAATCAAATGCGCTGCTGATGTTCACGCTACAGGACATGCCACAGTTATGAGCACTTGGTATTACCGCGTCTGTAAGTTTTCCACAACTTGCCTTGCTGTAGTAGCGATGGTAGCTGGAAACTGCTCTGAGGGTTTGCAGAATCAAGTTCACGGCAGAGTCAAGTTTGTCCTTCAGCCTCTCCAGATCTGCAGCCCAGCTCCCTTTGGGCTGACTGTCCAAGGGGAGAATCTCTGCTGAAGTCTGGATTACATCTTCAGCCCAGCGAACAAGTGCCTGGTAGGTGAGAGGTAACCTTTACTTCAAGCATAAGTTAACAGCATCCGTAACACAGTTAGCAACACTAATGTTACAAACAACTAGGATTTAACTGAACCGTGGTGTAATCTAATCGAGGTCGATCTATGTTGCAAGGTAAGATTCATAACATGCAAGCTAAAGCCATACCATAGCAGGAGTGTGGATGGATGCTTCAAATTCAGACACCAGAATCACAGCTTTTGTAGGGTCCTTGGCAATCTCTACTTTGAAGGGCTGGATCTTCTCTCGAAGAAGAGTTTCAATCTTCTCAGAAACCTGTAAGCAAGCGTCAAGAAAACCCAACATCCGGCTGCCTTTAGTTGCGGATCGGTTGTTGTTCCCCATTTACTGGGAGAGCTGATAACTTTCTTCAAGTGGTCACACTAGTTTTCCACAAACACTGAGCCGTTTATACTAACACTATTATCTGTACTTTTATCTAGTTCTGTACTTAGCTGCACGCCCAAGGCCATTTTTAAAGATGAGAACAGCACCCTTGGCAATTCACAATCAGAAAATTATTTAATAGTTCATATTTTAAGGTTATCCAGATGTACAAAGCCACATTTGTCCTGTGGATACTCAGTTTTGTGGTCAAACATTCCCCACTCTGCTCAAACCAAAACAGCCCGAGTAAAGTGACTCAGGTCATTTAGGTTTTGGTTTAGACCACTAGGTTTAAAAATTTTAAAGGAAACCATTACATGTGGACTCGCTGTTAGACCCACCTGCAGCGCATTATCACGCAACTGGAACACACGTAGCCTTAAACGAGCTTTAGAAAACAGCTCCTGCCACAGCAACTCCACTTTTTCCACAGCAGCAGTTATCCTGTAATTAAATGGTACAGTGAGCGACATCAACTCTTAAAAATGTCCGATACAGTTTCTTAGAGTAGCAAAAAACATTAATCTTGGATAATCCTTAGTCATACTGGCATTTTGCTTTAGCTGATGTGAAATGGGATCATTACAAAACTGGTGGATTAAGATAAAGAACCATTTTCATGACTTTACACAGAGATCTGGCTGCCTGCAGTACCTGCTGTGGTTCTGGAGCATATCAAAGGCCATCTGAGTGAAGAGGGCAGTTCCAGCCATGTCCTGGAAGCACGGCTCCCTGTCAGGCCAACGCAGCTTCCCCACCAAGCTCTCACAGTTCCTCAGTAGCTCCTCCAGCCCCAACTCCCTGATCACATCGTACATGTAGGACAGTAAGCTTTAATGTTTACCTGTGAAACGCCCTTAGATTGGTCAGAAGCTGCCAACACCACCTCTTTCATCTGAACGTGCAGGTGTAACGTGTGGGTTAACTTGATAACCAGCTTTTTGAAACAGTTTATCCTGATCGACAGATAAGATCATAACCAAGAAGTGGCAATTCTAACCTCCTGAGCTGCTGAAACTTGGCTTCAGTGCCGAAGCAGAATTGCCGGAGCTCGCTGACGGTGGTGGGCAGTGGCAGCCTGGACAGAGCCTGCAGTGCAGAGATGCATGAAGGCAGCCGCTGGACTACAGACACAAACTCCTGGACAAACGCATCGATCTCCTGCAGGAAGCAACATGAGTCAGAGATCCTCAAAATGCATCTGTGCACACAGGATTTCACAATATGGGACTTCACTACTGTTTATTTTAGACAGCTTTAAGGTAAGCATGAGTTTAAGGCTACTCATTTTCCCGATTTAGTTATGTCAACAGTCGATTACGTCAACCAAATCCCAATTCAGTCTATGGGGATTGTATCCCAAGAAGTATCAATAGTATAAATATGTTTCCCCACAGGCAAAGAGGTGCCACAGTTAACAGTCATGGCCCAGCTGAATATGACTGAATGGATAATTAATGGAAAGAGGGCTCCTTTCAATGGCTAATAAGATCAGCTCATTATGCAAGGCATTTGCACAAGCTTCATGGAGGTGACCAATAAGAGGTGCTGGCTGCTCAAACAGAAATCTGCATCTATGCTCGCAATAAATATTCAATGGATTCTGACCTATTGTTAGTTATTAGTGGATTACCAGAGAGACCGTTTCTTACGTCACACTTGAGCAGAAACATTTCAACATACACACAAATCCCCCGACTAATCATAAGACTGATTCTTAAGTCTTGCTATCAGACTAACGGTTGTGTTAAATAAATATAACAAATTGGTTAGAATGGTTGGCTTACAGTTGGTTGGGGCAGACAATCATCAACATAATCACCCATTAAAAAAGAAAAAAAAAAGTATCCTTAAACACTGACCCTTCAGCTGCTCTTCCAGCTTTTTCCTATGACCAAAAGCTTTGGAAAGGAAACATGACTACATCGTCATATATCTAAATAACAGGCAGGACATACAGTGGGGCAAAAAAGTATTTAGTCAGCCACCGATTGTGCAAGTTCCCCCACTTAAAATGATGACAGAG